AAGTATTTATCTGTAGAATTCTAGTATGTGGTACTACATATATTCAAATCAAATATTGAAATTAAAGATTATATTCTTCTGGTCAAAAGGAACAGCACCAGCTCCAAGAGAATAGTGCCTATTGACAAGATACAGGCTGAAATACATCAATATTCTTAGTATATCTATCAATACTACTGGACTGAGAAGAATTCAAACTGCAGCCAAATAGAGGGAAAACTTTAAATGGATTTTAAATAAATTCTTAGTCTTTTTCATGCCTTAATGAAAACAAAACAGCAGGGGTCATATTAGTGACTGCAGTCTGAAAAGAAACCATTTTAACATAGAAAGTTTCAGAAGCATTTTAAAATAAATTTCTTGCATGTGAAATCAGATTTAAGCTTTTTTTTTTTTTAATTTTTTAAAGGGATTTGTTAGGCTAGCTGTAAGGATAATAATGATTGCATGCAATGTTCTTGCATAATAAATCCATACATAGTACACTTAAGATTCTAGGTAACTGAAGAACCTTTTATTTTTTCTTTCTTTCTTTTTTTTTTTAAATGGGCTTACTTTGATAAACTGCACGTAATGCAAGAGAGATGAGCCTGGAAATCATTGTTTGCTTGCTGCTGAATTCCATTCCCTGAGTACCATCCCCCTCATTCATGTTGCAGTGGAAATATTTCACTCCTTGTTGCTTTTTAGTACCAACAGCAAGTAAGTGAAAGTGAAAAGTGAAATGAAAGTGGTCATTCCTCTAAATTTAGTCACTGCCCTTGCTTATAGAGCATATATAGGCAAGCTGGCACTCTTCCCAGCACAAATACCATACAGACTCTGGCAGTTACAGAGTTGTGGCATGAAAAGCCAAGCTCTTTTCACAAATGGTCGCATAAGTGCTTAAAGCTCTGTTAGAGATTCCATATCCCAGAAAGTGTGCCAAGCAGCTGGCATGCTATTGTCCCCAACTTCAACTTCACTGGGCAATAAAGCAAGTATTTTTTGCCTTTTGCATTCATCATGTTTGTTTCTGCTTTGCAATTGATATAAACATTGAAAATAGCTGTCTACAATACACTTCATGATCCAGCTGCCAAATAACCACAAGGATGCCTCTGATGTACCATGTAGACTAAGTCACCAGGCACAACAAATGCACACATGACTTACAAGCACAGAAACTGGGACCATACATGACTGTACATGACTGTACATTATTGAATGAATACTCGAAAGCTGGCTTTGTTACAGTATTGTATATAAATATGTGGCTGGTGTTGGCTGAATTACTGTATCAGAACCATCTAAACAGTGGTACTGAAAAAAGTTCAATGTTAGCAAAACCTATTAAAAATAATTGTCCTCTCTACCTTTTCCTATGGCACTGGGAAAAATGTTGCAAAGTTATGCTGACTTAACATGTTTGCTTTTTTCAGATTTCTCTCCCTTTTAATAGGACTGATATTTGCTGAGCCTGAGTGAAGGGTAAGAAAGTTTGATCTAGGTAATTTAATGTAACTTTAAAATAGATACTTTTTGGCAGTCTGACCTTCCCCACGTATGGTGGTCTTTCCTGCTAACTATCTCCATGTTCAACTCTTAAAGACTGTTATGTTGCTGTTTTAGATTCTGCACTTTTTGATAATTCAAGTACTCTCTCTTATCAGAGATGTGTCTTGATAGGATTTTATATAATTATGTTATTTGTTACAGCATTGATTTATCTCAACTCTGTCTTCATTTTCTACATCTCTGTGATCTGTGGTCTCTTTCACTAAATACAGACATTATTCGTTGTTCTCCAGATGATTAGCAAAATATTTCTATTAATACAGTAATCAAAAAACTATGTAACAAAATGGAGGTAAAGAACCAAAGGTGCAATCATATTAAGATGTTGATCTGATTTTTAGAAAAATAGATTCTGTTCACTCTTGGTAATATGCTTGTTGTATGAATGTATATGGACACCTCCATTACTAAGATTTTCCTGACGTCTTCAAACACAGCTAAGTTATGCCAGAGACTGTCCTCTCATTTGGAGCTCTTCTATTATTTCACCTTGCTCCTCTCCTCCCTCCTTTTTTTTTTTTTTTTTCCTTTGCTGAACTTATCTCACATAAAACTTCAAATATTCTACCATACTGCAAATTTGCTTACCTAATTGTTCAAGAACTCCAAAAATGCTGCCTTCCTAAAATGAGATCCTGTAGAGGATTTTTCATCACTATTGCCATTTGATATATGATGGTTTTCACTTTTCTTAAATAAAAGAAGTACACTATGGAAATTGTGGGACAGGGTTGCTCTTTTTTTTTTCCTCCTTCATGGAAATGAATTATTTCGACTATACTTTCCAGCCACAGTTAGAACAAAATGACAAAATATCAAAATTTATCCCAGTATTGAAAACTTTCAAGACTGTTCTCTGCTGAATAGGCTAAGATTACTTGCTATGATTACACCTGCTAAAATATTTCATTTAAATGACTTGTTGGCCAATTGTCTTGGGTATCCCAAACAGAAGTAAGCCTGCATGTAAACTGATCTGCACAGCAGTAACAGCTATTTGACTGCAGGTTCCAGCTCTTCAGTGACTCTGTCTCACTTACTCTCACTATTCCATCACAGATCAGAATAGTAATTACCTGGGAAAAGCAAAAAAGAAAAAAAAAAGAAAGAAAAAAGAAAGAAAAAAAAATGAGTCCAGTCAAGAGAGAGAGGATGCGTATAAACATTAACCTCACCTCAACAATGCTATTACAGTGTTTTAATTTTATTCACCAGTCTACTATTGGATGGTTGTTATATTCTCAGTTTGATGTAAACCTGGATTACAGGAGATTTTATTATAATTTATATAATTTATATAATTTATTATAATTACAGATGAGCCATGAGCTATGAGCTCCAAATGCTGTGCTACCTAAATGTCATCTTGGAATCTGCTTTAGGAGCTTGAGTCAGGCATGCAGTCTAAGGAGAAACTGGAGTACCCTATGGGAGACATAACTGAGTCAGTGATTGATACCAATAAAAGAGGGCTATGAGCTATACAGACTATGTCAGTACAAGCTTACATGGAAGTTCAAACAGGGTGTATGGGAATTGCTGAATCATGGCCTGAACCTCTGATTGATCACCTGAGGCAAGCCATGAGTCAGCCAGAAAAGCACAGCTGAAGGCAATTCACCTGTGCTGCTGGAAGGGGTGGAGCCTGGCTCCACCTCTCCTAGACCTATTTAATAGCTGGCTACCAGGGGAAAGGATCTCTTCTGGAGATTGCTTCTGCTGGTGTTTTGTGAGTGAGCCTAAGATGGGGGTAAGCCTTCTATTTATTCTCTTTTGTTATCATAGTCTGCTTTGCCTAGCTTTCTTTTTATTTTGTGATTGTAACATCCTAATATTCTTTGATTATACACAGAGTCAAACTAGTATATAAAAAAAAAAAAAACTTTGAAACATTTATATATTTAATGTTTACAAATCAGAACTTCAAGAGTCAGATTTACATTGTCCATAAATAAAATATTTTTTTCAAAATTTGCTAAACATTTGAAATTTTAAGGCAAAAAATGAAATTTAAACATGGGAAATAGTCATTATAAAAAGTTTGAGAATAAACATTCTAAAAGTTCAACAAGCTTATTTTGATAGCTTTTCACATCTTTGTCAGCAATCAGTGTCTTTACTGATTTTTCTCTATTAGTAACTGTTAAAAAGAGAATGTTCATAGATTAACTACTATTAGATCTCATTCTGCCCACTTTAACAGTCATGAAATTAATGAAAGGATATTAATGATTTTCTCTACTCTTTACGATTCTCACCGTGCCTCAGATTAGCTCAGCACAGAGAAAGCCCTTATATCTCCCATCTAGTATATCTTTAGTGATGTAAACTGGCAGAAGAGACAGCAATGTGACTTAAATATGTTACTACTAAATATCCAAATCTTCGGATATAAATTGGTCACAGGTGACAACATCAGCTGTCTTAAGAATTCCAGTGTATCATGTTATGATGAGCTGACTGTTAGCATGTGGATACTGTTAATAAGGAAAAATATTCTTTTAATAAGATCAACACTAAAAATACTGTGATATTCTGCAACTGCTGCATAACAGTAGTACTTGCAGCAAAGTAATGTAGGTCCCACTGCAATTTAATAAATGTAACTAGAATGTAAGAAGACACAACAATGTATAAGTAGCAACAGAAAGGGAATGCAGAGGAAGATGGTACTGAGAACTGAAAGTTAACGGAGACAGTGAAAGGGGAATATGCTTATGCAACAGCAGACAGACCTATTCTAGTGACTATTCTGGTGACTCTACGCATTCAGAATCAGGCTTCAGAAAGGAATATGGAAGAAAGAAAAAGAGAGAGGAGGACAGAAACATGAGGTGAAATGGGCACTGAGGAAGAATTAGTAAGTGAAGAATAGGCATTTGCAGACAATTCAAGATTATATATGATATATATATTTAATAGTATCATGCTTCTGACTGTGTAAATTCCATAATGCATTTCCTTTCATATTGCTATTAATATTCCTAACAGCAATGTTCTTTATCACATTAAAAAACAGCTGCACTCACAGTACATGAGTTATCATTATGTCAGAATTACAATAACAAAGGCAGAGAATGCTAGGGGAAATACACAGATGAGGACCTAGAGTTAGTGGGAAATGAGCTACTTTTTATGCATTTCGAGATGCACTCCACCTACATGATTTTATAATTCTTTTGAGCACTTGCACATTGCATCATCTAGCCTGGAGATGTATCCCCAGGTCATCTTTTAATGTCTACAAAACATCAGACAGAGTATTTAGAAACAGCAAATTTGTCTATTCTCAAACAGTATTTCTACTTTGGCCCTTTCTTTTGGAGAAAAAAAAAAAGCTAATTACATAAATATTTATTTCCTGTTCGTGGCCTTCTTAATACAGGTAAATAGATATAAATAGATTACAAAATGAGGTTTTTTTTTTAATCAACTTGAACAAATGTAGTAGGCTTTTTGAGAAGTAGTCTCAATAGGAAACAGATTCTGGAAATCTTCGAAGCTCTCTTTCTAAAAAGACAGGAGGAACCTCCTGAAGGTTCTCAACTATTTAATTATCCGTTTTGTTTTTAAAGTCAGGAATGTTAGGATTATTTTTTTTCCTCTTTGTTTAGAAGAGAGACCTTGGCTATACAACATACTTAAAATATGCACACAGATGTTTGCAGATGTCTCTCCTTAGCTTTCTTTCCCAAGTAATTAAAAAGAAGATCAACAGAACTGAACTGCTGAACATGATGCCTTTAATTTTTAAGTTGTGGATTGAATGGCCTTCACAAGTGTTGTAAATTTCTCAGAAAAAAAAGACCAACAAACAAAAAAAAAAATAACAAAAAAAAAAAAACTATTAAGGGAGAAGCATTTGTTCCTCCCTGCAGTGCTTTGTGGTAGAAATGATCTTTGATCTGTAGCCAGAGTTTGGAGTTGCATACTCTCCTAATTACAACAGCTAAATACATGTTATGGTTTAACCTGGCAAGCAGCTAAGCACCATGCAGCACTTTGTTCACCCCTCCTTCCCTGTGGGATGGCAGAGAGAATCAGGAAAAAAAAGAAGAAAAAAAAATAGAACTCGTGGGTTGAGATAAAAGCTATTTACTAAGAAAGAAACGATGGAGAAAAGGAGAATAATAATAGTAATAATAATACATATTTACAAAACAAATGTTGAACAAAACATTGCTCGCCACCCACCAACTGATGCCCAACTAGTTTCGAGGTTGCTCCTCAGTCAATTCCCCACAATTTTAGAAGTTTTCTCTCGTGGTGTTATATGTTATGGAATATCCCTTTGGCCAGATTTTGTCAGCTGTCCTGGTTCTGTCCTCTCAGCTCCTCATGCACCTTCAGCCCTGCTTGTTAACAGGACAAAACATGAGGTTGAAATATCCTTTGATCTGTACAGCACTGCTCAGCAACAGCTAAAACGTCAGAACGTTAACACCGTGATTCTCTCGAAGAACAATACACTGAATAAGAAATGAAAAACCAGTATGCCTCCCAGCTTAATTGGGGCACTAGATAAAGTTATCAGGTTCCAGATGACGACAAACTGAAGGTACTTTTTCATGTAATGCTCAGCTAAATTACAGAAATCTTTGCTACAATATATTGTGAATGACAACATTTCAGAAAGCTTCTTAAGTGATTAGATGTTACAGTAGAAACTATAGAAACTGTATTGCACAAAGCACACTGCAGCCTTGATAATTCTCCTCCACTGAATTCATAGTACCAGTCATTTTGGAGTCAGAATATGAAAATATACTGCATTTTTCTTTTTGACACATTTATTCAACAGTATGTTTCATACTCATGTAATTATGCACACAGTTTTTCTAGTTTCTAACACACATGAGCTCTTGATCATGCCAAATAGAAAGTTGTTTGGTGCAGATTTTAAAAATATATAAGTAACCCTGGCATTCTCAGGTGTGGAAAATGCTACCACTCATTCACTCTTAATATTAAAATACTCATTCTGCTAAAGTCTGAGCGCTAGCTTCATATGAATCATCTTCCATATGAATTTTGCATTTTATCTTCAGAAAAGCCAGCTAGTCTTCTCAGTTTCAGATGATCTCTTTAAAGCATAATGAAAATATTATAGGACTTGTAAGGCTTGAATGCATGGCTTGTAACTATGCTACAATAAATGATTATTTTGGTTCATTGACATAGAATTCTTTTACATGCATAATTTTGCACTTAACATTTACATCATTAAATCCTAATGTTCATTCAAATATATTATTTAATGCAAATGTTTTTCACACGCACAGTCTTTCCATTTGACTGAAAGAGTTCAGAAGTGCACATCATTTAACTCTTCAGTGATTCAAATCAAGGAAAAGTGGTTCAATTCTTTCATTTTAGTTGAAGTATGCATTCTTATGTCAGGTCTATCAATGGTCTTTGTATGTTTTACCAAAAGAAAAAAAGTTTGCCATATTCCCCATGTTCACAGTATCACAAGTTGATTGAGGTTAGGAGGGAGGTCTGAAGATTATTTTGTTCCAGGTCTCTGATGACGCGTGGTCCCCCTGAGCATGTTACCTGGGACTATAAGTAGGCGCTTTCTGAAGATTCCTAAGGAAGGAAACTCCGCATCCTCAGGACTATTAGTGCCATAGTTAAGTCATCTGAACAGTACATAAATGTTCCTGATGTTCAGATGGATCCTCCTGTGTTGCTGTTACTGCTGATGATATTACCTTCTCTAGGCTAAATATTTCTCAGCTTTTCCTCACAGTTTGCTTGAGTCCATTAGTCATCTTAGTGGCCTTCAGTGGGCATGAGTAGCTTCTTGTATCTTGTAGGAACCTAGAACTGGGTGTAGTACTCCAGATGTGGCCTTACAGAGGAAGAATCACCTCCCTCAACCTGCTGGCAATGATCTTATTAATGCAGACCATGATACCATTAAACTTATTTTCTTCAGGAATAGATCGCTGGCTCATGATCACCTTGGCATAAACTGGGGTTTGCAGGCCCTTTTCTGCCATATATATTTTTTCCACTTTTTCTCTAGTCTTACTTGACTTTATATTCATTGAGATGAACCTCTCTTGAGCTTATTACTTGAGGTGATCCTTAAATATTAACCAGATTTCTTGGGTCCCTCTTCCTTCCAGGTTCTTAGCCCATGAAACTTGTCCAAACAGTCACATGAAAATATCAAAGTCTATTTCACTGACTCAAAAGTTTTGGACTTGCTTTTACACTCTGTCTTCTCCTCAGAATCTTGAATTCCAATACCTCATGATCATTTCAGCCCAAGCTACCTTTGGCTTTCATATCCCCACTGAAAGCCTCCTTGTTGGTGAGCATAAGATCATAAAGTCATAGAATCATGGAATCATAGAATGGCCTGGGTGGTTAAAGACCTAAATATCATCTAGTTTCAACCCCCCTGCTAGACCAGGCTGCTCAGAGCTGCATACAGCCTGGCCTTGAATGCCTCCGGAGATGGAGCATCCATAATCTCTCTGATTAACCTGTTCCAGTGTGTCACCAACCTCTGGGTGAAAAACTTCCTCCTAATATCCAACTTAAATCTCTCCTGTCTTAGTTTAAAATCATTCCCCTTTGTACTATCACTATCAACCCGTGTAAACAGTTGTTCCCCCTCCTGTTTATATGTTCTCTACAAGTACTGGAAGGCCACAATGAGATCCCCCCAGAGCCTTCTCCTCTCCAAGCTAAACAAACCGTTTCCTCAACCTTTCTTCATGGGGGAGGTACTCCAGTCCTCTGATCATCTTAGTGGCCCTCCATTGAACCCATTCCACGAGATCTGCATCCATCCTGTGCTGGGGGCCCCAGGCCAGGCCACAGTACTCCAGATGGGACCACACAAGATCTGAGTAGAGGGGAAAAATCACCTCCCTCTCCTGGCTGGCCACTCCTTTTTTAATGCAACCCAGCATATAGTTGGCCACCTGGGATCCAGGTGCCATAAGATCCAGCAAGGCACCTCTCCTCATTGGCTTCTCTTTCACTTGGGTGATGAATTTGTCACTGACACACTTCAGGAACCTCCTGCATTGTTCATGCCCTGTCTTATCCCTCTAATAGATGTGAGAATAGTTGAATTTCCCCATGAAGATCAGGGCCTGAGGACATTAGAATGCTCCCATCTGTTCATAGGAGGCCTCATCTGCTTTTTCTTCCTGATTAGGTAGCCTGCAGCAAACACCCACTAAAGTGTTACTCTTACATGTCTTCTCTTTAATCTTCACATCTGAGCTCTCAACAGGCTCTTCGTGCATCCCCGCACGGAGCTGCATATATCTCTACTGTTCTTGTTTAAGAGGCAATTACATCTTTTCATCTTCCTAGCCTGTCTTTTTAAAGAACTTATGTCTCTTTGTGGCAACACTACTGCTATGGAGGACTTTCCATCATGTCTTCACAATATCAGCAGGACTGTAGCCATGCAGCTGCTCGTAGGTCTCTAAATCGTGTTCATTCCCCATGTCATGTGTATTAGGGCACATACACTTACGAGTGTTAAAAAGTAAACATTAATTTTACCGTGTTGTCCATCTTACAAAACACCACATACCTTCATAGTAATCAGGTGAAACTCATGCTTTATTTATAATGATGTTGCTGAAACAAAATTTTTGACCTAGAAATCTTTTACATTTTTATTTTTTTCTTCTTGTTATCTTGTTAACAAACTTGTTAATCTGTTTTTGCATTCCTTTGCCACGCAAAGGCATTTAAGTTTGAATAGAGTGCTGAAGAGAGAAACTGATTCTAATGCCAACTCAACTTGAAAAGGTAAGATGACCAAAAACTCTGACATTTTAAAAACACTTTTCTGCTACCTTACAAATCTGTCAGTCTTTACCTTTACAAAAGCAAAATAAAAAGACTGTCTTTATCTTAGGTGTCTGAAAACTAATGGTCACATATCAAAAGGAAACAATCAGATCTATAATATAACTGTATAAAACAGAAAGTAATCATATTCATCCCAATTTATTCCTTAAGTTTCAAATGACTTCATGATAGATTAATCTGAATTTACTGCTATAGAGTGATATAAGTAAAAATTTAGTTTAATTCATTCCTAAGTGATCAATTAAAAAAAAAAAAAAAAAAAGGCATTTCTGGCAATGATTTGAAGCATTTTTCCTCTTCTTAACTGGGCCATTTCCTTGAGCTTTGTCCCCAGAATCTCAGCATCAGATTGTCTTTGCTACTCTGGATACTCTGAAGCACAGCAGTTCACGGGAATTGGAAATCTTCAAAATTATTAGGTAAGAAGGCTGCTCTTTCCCTGATTTTGGGTTTAAATGTTGTAATACACAAGGCATATTGCTTTGCTCATTAATTGGTTGTTAAGCAGATTGTTTTAGTTGTCTCTTTATAGGCATAATGCACTATTTGTAAAGCAGCACAGTTTGTTCCAAGCAGAGCTGTCTGTCTTAGCAATCAAAGCCTGCAATCATATTTCTGCTCATTTTGAAGGCTCACTGTGAAATCTTTCAGGAATTAGAACTGCACCTTCAGATCTCTCTATGATCTGGTTTAAGCTATCTTTGGGATTATCTCTTCCTCTGAAATCCTGAGACGTACATTCAAATGGAAAAGAAATATCTGTCTCGGGATTAAATCCTACGTGTACTCAGAAGACAGTTTTACAGAGCCTATCAATCAAAGAGTTATGGGGGAGAATTCAGACATAACAACATAAACTTGATGATGTCCTCTGTGCTGAAAATACTAATGATGAAGAATGCAACATATAATGAAATAATATGAAAACTGTTTGAACTGATTTAAGCACCAATAATCAGAATCTCTTCCAGAATGTAAGGTAAGCTGCACATTTTACAGTTTTATAATGGCACTTAGTTATGAGTGCCAGTGCCTTTTTGAAGCATCTGGAAGGTAGATGAACTGTGGGAAAGTGAGAAAGAAGCTATGTTTACTTCTTATGGTGAACTCAGTAGATACTAGACTTCATTAAAAACAGCTTGTATAATCCATTTAATTCTCTCTGTTTTGTGAGTTTTTTTGTGGAGGGAGCATTGATCAGGGAGGGAATAGTGTTGCATAAGAGCTGAGAGAAATTATGATAATCTCCAAGACTTCCTAGGAAGCTTGGTTTCAATTTGATACCAGCCATCTAAAAACCATTACTATATTATATATGCGTTACTGATACTTCTGTTTGCTTCATATTCTAGGAGATCATTTCATTTCTTACTTGCTTTAAAGTCTTGTGGAAGACAGAAATTGGCTAAAAGATCATCAGAATATTTCCACTTCTAATGGAAACTTATTTTTTGTTTTAGAGTATCCGACAAATGTCTAAGACAATGAAGATTTTTTTTTCTTCCTTTTTTCCTCTAAGAACATGGAACTTCTATCCTAGAAACATGAAATGTGCACATGTGAATGCATTCAGTGACATGTATATTGGTGCCATAGCAAACAGGGCTAAAATGCTGGTGGAGTGTACAGAATAGTTTCATTTTCCTTAGATTCATCTATTAGAAGTTGATATCTTGAAAAACATTAAAATTCATTAAATAAAACTTATTTATGAACATCATTTTGTCACATTATAGTATAGCAGTTGGTTGATATCTCTAATGACTCATAACTCTGCAATAAAACTTATTCATGCTGATCCATGGTATCATACTATCTACAATTCCATGAAGGTAAGACAGATACATGAATATAAAATCAACATGAATTTAATTTGTCATTCTCGCTGTGTCATACTCTTGTTTTTATTCATCAGACCTTTGTTAACATCTTCAGTTTTCCTGTCTGTAAGTGGTTGTGCTATCTCTTAACACATTATTCTTTTTGAACAGCAATTTCTTGCTCAGTCTAGGTTAACATTACTCTAAGAATGGTACAAAAGTAATTACTAGGTTATTAATTTATCAAAATCTTCATTTTTAATGTAATTGTTTTAATTTTCAGAATGAGGGCATAGAGTTGACACACAACTTTAACATTAAAAAAACCCACACCACCAACAACTAACAATAAACTATAGGCCAGGCACTTCATAAATCTAACGTTTTATTATTTTTATCATATGAAGGTCAATTAAGTTTCTAAATCAATAAGGCACTGTATTGAAGTTTTATTTTTTATGCTTAATTGTATCTACAGATGTGGTGGATTGCAGTTTAGGCACACTTGTGGGGAGAAAGTTCTGTAGATGAATTTGTTCAGAGCTCCTTGCTCTGATTATTTATTAACCATGAAGCATCATGCTTATGCAAATATATCACAGCCCTATTAACATAGAAAATTCAGAATAGTATTATGAGCTACTGGAATATGATATGATCCTTGGCTAAATTTTCAAAAGCCATGGCTAAATTTCAAAAAACAAAGTAGATCTGAGATTTTTTTTAATTTTTGAAACCTGTTGTATGGTTGTATTCTTTGTGTTTTCCACTCAGTGAAGAGTAGGTGAGGATATTCTGAATCAATGACAAGAAACTAAAATATTTGTTCAGAACATGCCTGATCTCTTTATGAGAATAATCCTTTAATATTTAGATAATTTTTATTGTGGGTTTTGAGCATTCTCTCATCTAAATATATTGAGGCTATATTTAGCACTTTCTTTCTATTCAACTATATGTGATTAATTGAAATATTCTGATTTGCATTCTGAAATTCAATTTATTAAATGAAAGTAAGCAGAATTGTAAGCACTGAAATGTTTCATTACATATCTTAATTCATATTGTTGTCCAAAAACTATAAATGAGTTGCATATGGAAATAAGGTTATGGCTACAGTATAGTACAGAAAATAAAATAATAAAAAAAAATATTTTTTTTGAGAAAAAATTCACCCTTAAAAGACGTGTGTCTGTTTGTATTTGAGAGAAGGGAGTGTACATATTTGAGGGAATATGTGAGTGTACAAAAATGAGATTTTATGATTTTAAATTGCTAAGGGCACATCATCATCTGGATGTCACATCACAGGACAGTAAAGAGGTGGACAGGCATTTTCTTGTCCAGCCAAAAATTATTGAAGGAATTAACAAAAGGAAAAGTATGATAACTTTCTCTGCATTTTTGAATGTAAAATCACAATTTTCTGAAGAATTCTATAACCTGGTACCCGATATTAAGAATACAATAAGATCAAATAATAATTATTATTAAAAATTATTTGTATAGACACTTGATAAAAGGCTGCATATTCATGTTTCAAGTAACTCCTGATAAGCAAACTGAGAGAATCCATGCCTCAGAAAGATAAGAAACTTTCCTATGTTCTATAATACTGGTAAAAATTAATAACAAAAATAGTAATAAGAAAAGGTGAAATTCCTAGTTTTGAAGTTTACAGATTAATAGTAGACTCAGCTCAGACAGCTAAAGTTACTAAAGTTGATTTTTCATTTGGCTGCATGAAATCTATTCTGTATATTTAGGAAAAAGAAATGAAAGTGAATTCTGATGTGAAATGACACTTTTGACGAATAGAAGCATCAAGTTTTTCCATTAGTACTGTTGAAGGAAGGTCTAGATAGCTAAAAGCTGACAAGAAATCCTATAGTCCTATAATAATTTTGTCATTTCACTTGAAAAGACATGATGGTTAAAACATTTCTAAATATTCTGTATATTTTTCAAATTCTGATGCTCACCAAAATAAGCCAAAAATAAATCAGACTTTCAGATTTTTGTGTTTCCTTTGTACACCAAACAGCCTCTCAGGGATATTCAAACTGAAATTCAAGAATTGACAAAATAAGTGCATATCCAAATACACAGTTGTTTTATGTAGGTATTTCTATTTACAGACTGTGAGTATTTATTGGGAAAAATGTGTGAAAATAAAATCTTGCTGTGCTGTACTCCATATAATCAATATGTTAAATACTTGAAGAGTATAATTACATAATAATAATAAAAAAAAATAAATTGGAAAGTAGTGCTGCTTTAGTTCTTCACTGAAGAAAAATTTCATATCAACAGGTGGTAAAGCCAATACCAGCAATGAAGAAAACAGAACTCTAACTTTTGAAAGATCTTGCAGAAGCACGCAGCAGTTCCTTCAAGAAATCTTTGAAAGAAAAAACTCCCAATGAAGACAAATTTTAAATGTGCTTTCTTAAAATAAAGGAATAAATTCTTCTGCTTGTTTGGCTGGTTTTGCAAATATTACTTGTAGTTTAGTAAGTCTGGGATATTTAAGTCATTACTTCCTGTAACAAAGAACTCTTCTTTTGAACGACTGTGCTGCTCATTAGTTATTGAAAATGCATCATTTTTAGGCAACATTGGTTATACACATAGTGGTCAATGATGTTGAGTTGTGAATCTTAGTATTATATTATATATATTATAAAATGCTTGATTTTCTTTATTATTACCTTCTAATCCATTAACATTTTGGTGAATAAAAACACTCCCTAGTCTTTGCTAGGGTCTGGAAATATTCAGGAACTCCTGCTCTTGGTGAAGATATGGATGTGATGATGGAAGAACCTCCTGTGACCTGGCAGAATGAATGCCATTAGAAATTTCAGCTCTACATTTCCTGGCATGGGGTGACCTTTATGCAGCTATAGAGAGTATTGGGGCAGACAGGTGAGTTCCACAAGGGCAATAATTGTCTCTAAGTCACTGGGGTGAAATTCTGAATTTCCACTCTGCAAACTAAATTCTACTTTATTCTTGCTTTTGAAGAATAAGCAAATAATATTGTGCTTTGAAATTCTCTTCATCTTACAGCTCTGGAGAATAGTATTCATTTTTATTACTGAATTAACATAGTAAGAAAATAGGCAATAATTATCATGTTAAAAATAATATTATGACTTATTGTGTACTTTCAGAATACGGAATAATGAACCTCTGTCTTCAAAGGCTAGATAGACAGATACTTAAGATAAAATTTGATTTAGCTTAATTCCTCTGACTTAAATAGTAAAATTTAAATATTTACTTAAAATTTTCATTTTCTTGGACAACATTTTTGTCTTTGATATTTGAATCAATATTTAAGAAAATGTATGACTGGTAAAATATTTAATGATATAACTTTTTCAAGCATTTATGTATGAAAGTACTGAAAGGAAAAATAAAACAATATTAAAAGCATTTATAAAATAACTAATGAAACTAATTTCCTCTCTCTCTCTCTTTTTTTAGCATAGAAATACAAATAAATGAAAACTCTGATGTAAACGTCATTTTGCCATTCTAGAAAATTATGCCTTCATTCAAATTGAAGTGAATTGCTTCACTGTTAACTGAAGAGAGCCAATTTTCTTTCCTCTTATACTAATATAATAAATTTCAAATAATAAACAATATTCAACACTAAAGAATAACAGCAGAACATTTGTTAAAAGCTTTCATAGTTACTATTTGTGTTGATGTTTATTTGTACCTTACTGGACCTTTGTATATTCCCTGAGTTTTAGAACAATTTTCTTGAGAAAACCTTTGATATCAACCCTTGAATCAGTGTTATGACAGTCTCCTTGATTTCTTTGACAAGAAAGTGGACTATAGCATCTTCTATCAAGCTAACCGGAATCTTGTGCTACACCTTGGCTTCAGTTTTCCCAAGAACTTTTTGCATCCAACATTAATGGTGTCCAAATTAAATGTCTTGACAGCAGAGCACAACTTAGTTGACTGAAGATGGGATCAAAGTTCTTTAAAAAGAATGACATTTTGGAAATGTTTTATGGTGTTGAAAACTTGTTCTACTCTGAAATGCGTGCTCAAGTCCTCCATATTTTGTCCTTAAAAATGTTTTCTTTTTTCTACTTTACTTGCTTGAAGTCCATTACAGAAAGTAATACAGAGTTTAATGTTGGTGTTAGTCCTATTATCTCTTTCAAAGGGCTGATTTTATTACTAGTATTGAGATTACTGTGTATTTTATCATTTCTAAATCTTCTTTTGGTAGAGGGAGAAAAACAAACCTATGCCATCTTACTGAAAAATTTTTCCTTGAAGCAGACCAAAGTTAACAATTCAAGTAACGGTAATTCCAGCCCTCTGCTTTTGATTTGTTTTGTGACAGTAGGGATATCAGCATGGAGTGAATACAAGAACAACAGATTTTTGTGATCAAAATATAGTTGGAAGGTTTTGTATCATTATTTTCTCAGCATATTTTCAATGGTACTTTTCACTGTAAATTATGTTGCTTGTTTGTTTTCGTAGCCAGAGCACTGTAAAATATTTCTGTGATCATTCTGATGCATAGCTTGTGAAGTCCCTGCAGCAATACAGCAGTAGCCACTGCTGCTACATAGACTGCTGCAGATCTGCTTTGCATTTGTAATGTGTGCACACAGTGCATTTGAACTGTTGCCAAAACTACCTCACAGTTCTACAGAATGGCTCTTAAATTAGGACTGTTCCACAGGTCTGCAGCAGTTTTCTTGTGATGCCGAGTTAGCTGATCCTTATAGAGATGGAGAGTAATCACTTACTGCAAACTGAGATAAACTCTCTGCAGTAGCTGAAAGGAACAGCTTAGTTGTGCAAAGAAATGTTGATGACATTTATTTTTAAAACAAGAATTTTACTTCTTAGCACTCCTAGGTACATAAAATGTGTTCTCTAATTTGGACTTTATCTACAAGAATATTTGAGTAGAACACCTTCTAAATAATTCACAGTTATATTTTGCACACTTTGTCATACTGTTAGTAGTAGTAGTATCATTGTTTCAATTCAGAGAATCACATCTAATGTTCTAGAAAGTATAACTGACAGTTACAAAAAGAAGCTCTGTTCTAAATTTTGAATAACTGCAGATAATTTACACATAAATAGGATGATCTAGGAGAATACTGTAATGGAACATTACTAATATTTTTTTAAATGAAGAGTCTTGGCATATTTGCTTATTTTCAACATTTGCAAATGTTAATGTAATTATTAATATTTTATTAGCAATATAAAAATCAAAATAGGTAAATTATTTGTATAGTAAATGGGAATATCAATTGTAGTGAAAGAATATTATGTAGATAATTAGATTGCATGAACAACTAAGTCATTATCAGTATGAGATGTAACTGCCTACTACTTTTATGGTCCAGCATAAAGTAAGAAGATAACAAGAATATGGAATAAATTGAATAAAAAGAAAATTGAATAAATAACAGTAGCAAAATAGCAGAAATTTTTATATAACGTAAAAAAAGGTCCGGTTGTCAGAATACAAAGAACCATTCCTATGTAGACCTCAATTAAGAAAAGATTAATCCAGATTAACACCTATTAGATCCCAGTGTAAGTAAAAGGCGTAATATACTACACATTTTACCTATATGCTAATGTTGTGTTTCCTGAAATAAAAATCCTAATTCTATTAAGAAATGATAAATAAATATTGGGTGTAAATGGAAAATAACACTGAACATTTGCAGAACATACATGATGTTGGGCAGTCCACATGAGTATGTCTTATATGTCTTACCGTATAAGTTTTATTTGCACTGTGAAGTAATCCTCTTATTTCATCCAAGTGAAGAATCCACAATTCTATCTTAGTGCAATTCTGAACTTACATTTCAGTTTATAGATATGAAGAAGGTAACACATTCTTGTAAGGACTGTGCTACTACATCTACATTTGTTTTTATTTGTGTTACCATGACAACTTTGATCATGAAGGTATTTCAGAGGTAGCTGTATATTTTCCTTCATTAATTAACTTAGAAATGCATTATTTTACTGCATTTGCACTTACTCCACTAGTAGAAAAACAATATCTTGAAAAAGAAGACCACAAAGAAAATAGAAGTATGTATGCAAACTCTTTAAGACTAGAAAAAGGACATGTAGAAATACAAAGTGAATTGTGTCCACATAAAACATGAACATTGGCAGATTGCTTTTTCTTCTTGCCAGTAAAAAGTAATTCTCAAAGTAATGACTACTTCTAGGTAGCTGGGCAGTTATGTGTTTTTCTTCTGACTGTAATTATCATGAATATCACTCTGGATTTATACATTCTTCCACTGATTTTTGATCACAAAGTTATTCTTCTACCTGTTTTTTTTTTTTTTTTTTTTTTTTTTAGGAATAGTAGTAGTATTTATTGTTATTAAAACAAATTGCTGAATATTGTTGTGCTTATAATTCAGAAGTTAATGAATATTTCTCTATGTGAAATGCTTATGAAGAGATCTGATATTTTCTTTTTTTTTTAAATTATTTTAACAAATCAGAAGAAGGATCCAGGGACTGTACTTTTCTATGTATATATATACATATGTACAAAAAAAATCAATTATTCCCATATACATTGGATTTATTATATTTCTCCAAAGGAATTTAAAATGCACTGAATAATACTCCTTTTAAGGTTCTAGAAGAACTTTCATAATAAAAGTTGCTGTTGAAATTTATTTTCGTATATATGTACAGGAAGACTTCTTTGATGTTTTATGCATTCCCTTGCCTATAAAAAATAATTGGGGGGGAGGGGAGTAGGGAAACAGCAGACCTTGTATTAACTTTAACAACTCTACCTCCTCTGCTCCAACTTCAGATCTCATTTATCTTTTATGAGCTCTGGGCATTCTGCCATAATAAAACTGCATAATGCTAAAATTCTAAAATCATTCAATGGCTTCTTTTTTTTTTTTTTTTTTGTAACCTATTCAACTCACTGTGACATTGATCCTGCCACTTAAGAAGCTGGTTTGAATGATTCTACTCTTTTAATACTACAACATGTAGTTCAATATCCAAAGTTCTGAACTAGGAAATTAAGGTACTCAATTTTCTGAGGAATTGCTACATCCACTTGCTGTTAATAATTGTAGTTGAAATACTAAGTCACAGTTTGAACCAGTGATTTAGCTCCTGGTAGGAAGGCAGGGGAGCTCAGGTGCATGCAACACACTTGAGTGACTGGAAGAGGTGGATCCTGGCTCCACCTCTACCAGACCTCATTTAAGGGTTGGCAGAGGCAAAGTTATCTTTCTGGAGATCTCTGAATGCCTGAGAGCTTCTGAAGGTAAGCAGTGTTTTTTTTTTTTTTTTTTTTTTTTTTTTTTAAGGCCTAGTGTTGTCATGTTTGAGTGAATTCCCTGTTGCTTCAGCTTGGAATCTTGCCATTGTGTTATTGTTTTGCTTTCTACTGTGTTTCAGTTGTGTTCCTTGCAGCTTAGCTGTGCTAAGTGTAGGCCTTACATTTCTTTAGGAGTTTTGGGAGGAAAATAAAATACCTGAAATGTATTAGGTAATAGATATGGAAAGTTATAAATACTGTAATTTAATGGAAATGTTTTTTGTTAATAATCCCTATAGATTTTTTTTTTTCTTCAAAGAAAATATTTAGGATTTCCAGCAAATTACTCAAGTTTTTATTGGATAGTATCTCTGCTTAGGTCTTTATAATCTTTTCAGGTTACTGAGATAATGCTTTTGAACATCATTCTACTACCACTAATTTAAAGATATCCTAGTATCTCTGAGATTCTGATCAACTGAAGCTAGGTAAAACTAAGCTGACTCAAATCTTATACAGGAAGGGGTTTCTTTCCTAATATAGGAGTTTGTAATGAAAAATGTGCATCTGTTTTAGAAAGAGAAATATAGGCATTTTAGGGGAATTATCTTAAAATAAAAAAAAAACAAAAACAACCTTCTATTATGCAGTCCTGAAGTCACAATTCTTTCTGAGAGGCTATGCCTGGAGTTAGAATCATAGAATTATGATCTTTGGAAAAGACCGCTGATTTACTCTAGTCCAACTGTCAATTTAACACTATTGTGCCTGCTAAACCATGTTCCTCAGTACCATATCTATTCTTTCCTTAAAGGCTCTGGGGTCTCCATTGTTTCCCTGGGCAGCATGTTCCAGTGTCTTAGCGCTCTGAGAAGATATCTTTCCTAATATCCAACCTGAATTAAATTCTTATGGTTTAAATATTTGTTGAATGAATCCCTTCCAGGCTGACAGTTGTACTTAAAAAATGAATAAATAAAATAAAATAAAAAATAAAAAACAAAACAAAAAAAAAGCAAAAACAACAACAAAAAAGACCCCTTTGTTTTTGCAAATCTTTAACTTTCAATGGAAGTACAATCCATTGAAATTTATACTAAAAAAAAATAATTACTCTGAATGTACTGCAGCCATACTGCTCTAATTCTATTTCAAAGAACACCATGGAAGATGTCTTAATTTTGAACTGCAAACTTAAGCGGTAACCCAATATTAGCTACCAAATTCATCATGTGGTGTTGTCAAAATCAGAGTTACTAGAATACAGTGAGAGAGCTTTAATGTACTTCTACTGAAAACATTGAATACATGGTTTTGAAAGAACAATCAAGGCAGTGGTTTCACTACTTCAATCAAGAAAAAGCATTAATCTTCATTGTCTGCTTCCTGTTGCATAAATGAATTGAGGGGAAAAAAATGATTATGTTGGAATGGCTAGGTCATGGCCTGAACCAGTGACTGAGCTGTAGGTGAAAAGATGTGGCTAACTTAGGGAGCACAGATGTAAGCAATGCATGTGTGCATGTGTGCAAGATCATTTAAGGTTAGCAGCAGTGGGAGCAGCATTTCGATTTGGAGACTCTGCATTCTTGAGTCCTTACCAGACTTTGAAAAGGATCAGCTATTTTTTACTGTACAGCTTTAAACTAAGTCTTGACGAATGCCTTTATAGCACGTTCCTATCCTAGTAGAACATGGTATTATTGTTTTTCTATTGCTGTACAATGATGAACTGAATTTGACTTTGAAGAGTGTGTGACAAGAGTGGGTAGTGGTGTGTGGTAGGGTGGTGAAGAGGGGAAAATTAGATGGCTTACAATGTTCTTCTTAATTGTTTCTGTGTTATAGTTTTAGTCCTGTTTCTTGAAGTTGGCCCAGTAACATGAAAAAACAATGAAGAGTAACATTAGAAGATGTTATGTAACTCAATTCCAATACTGACTGAAAATGTATAAAGGAATTCTAAGGTATTTTCTTTGCTTATATTCTCCACAGGATCTTATTCAATTTTTTTCAGTGCTTCATTTCCAAAAAGTGTCTGCTGTAAAACTGTGAAAGAGAAGTCAATCATAGGTTTCTGTATGGCAGCATCTAGTGAAAGAGAAATTAAATGTTATATGAATCTTCTTCCATTGTCAAAGATTTGAACAGTAAGTTCTTCACAAAATGAGTTAACAAAAGCTCAAGGAAGAACTTCAGTCTGACAACAGAATTGCTTATCTAAGAATTGTGGTATCTAGGTTAAATTCTCTCTATTTTATCTATAATCTATTTATCTATAAATTCTCTATAGGCCTGACCTTGAACAAAATACCTAGTGGCATTGTTCTTGCCTACTGATACTGGTCTGAAAACTAGGCAGACAGACTAACCTAATTTTCTGAATTCTTCTAAATATACATAATTACTGCAGAACAACTTAAGCATGAAATTTGTTCCACCTATTTGAGGGTAGGATGAATCACCTTTAGAAATAGCTTACTTTCTTCCAAGTAGTTTAGAAAATATGCTTAAGATAAGGTGAGACATAACTCACCTTTAATATTTTATGCTTTTTTTTTCACCTCATCTCTGTAGAATGAATACAGTGGCATTTTATTTCCTTATTAATTTACTAGGAAAATATGTTACTTTTTTTGGTGTTTAAATAATGGAAGATTGGAGTGATAGAAGTATAACAGACATATGTAAGATTAGTACTTGTAATGAGTTAAGGAAATCAGTTATTTATGAAAATAGATTTCTAATACTAATGCTATCAACCTTGGTCAGGACACTATCTCTAGTGCCATCTGTTTGGATTCTTACAGCTGTTCAGAGATCAGCTTCGGGGCCTGAATTGTTCTAAGGAAAAAATGAAAGGCATGATAGCAATAAATACTAGCCACCATTCAAATATTGATAAACTTGATTTGTTGCAGCTGTTAGTGGTACATATATAGGCAAATCCAATTTTAAATGCAACAGATGTCTATCACTGAAAATCAGTGTTCTTTTATTTACAAACAATAAAACAGGTATCAGTCATAAATTTCTGCTGCCTGCTTGGAAGGAAGTTAATTTTTTAAAATTATTATTATTATTATTATTATTTTTTAGCACTGAACAACAACTGAGGGGAAACGGAAGTTTCAAGACAAGTTCTTGGCTATATGTATCAAAACATAGTGGAGGCTTGATAACTTCCAGCAGGACAATTTTATTACAGCCTGTGAATTGAAACTGCAAATGTTTGTTTACACATTTAATGCTATTATTTCCATTATTTTAGAATTGTTCTCATAGTTTGAGTGGTTTATAATTGCAGAGAAATTCTGTCAAGACTCTTCTATGTCTTTTCTCACTGGAGGAATTGCTCTTTCTGTCAGAGGGCTGTATTTAAGACTTCTATATTTCTCTCATGAATGGAAAAATCTCTTCAGGTTTGTGAAGCAAGTTTGTCAGGGTAGAGTAGCTAAATTAGAAAAAGCTTCGAGGGTAAATCCATGCTAGTGATTGTCTGACAGTGGTAAACTTTACTGAAGGCAGAATGACTTAACACATTTCAGGACTTTGAGTACCTTTGAGTCCAACACTACCCACGGTCATATCCATTCTTACCTGAAAGATGTCATCCAAAGCTGAGATATTTATTTAGCCATGGCATAAGTTCATGACTTTTTGTCTATGAAGGAGGTAGAACTTGAAAATCCAGACTGAAAAAAAATCAGGCCTATGATCCAAGTATAATGGAATTATAATGATGGAATTTACTTGTATTTTTTCTTATGTACTTCATATATAATTTTTTTCTTTTTCTCTTAAAGCGTGCTCAGATCCAGGGCAATTTTTTAAAGAAAACCCAGTACTGCTTCTTTTCAGACTGTGTATTATGAAGTGCTTGAATGTATTACAACTTCAACTGCTTTTGAGATGACCTAGTTTTTTGACAATTATCTGCATTTTACTCTCACACTGTTACTGTTTTTTCCTCATCTTCAGGATTGACTTAAAACTTCTCCTGTTTTCAGTGGAAATTATGTAGTAGTTCTGGGGCTTCCTTGCATGTGTCTTACAAATTATATGTTTTAGAACATTAAAAAAAAAACAAACAACTCATCCAGTGAGTAGAAGGTGGTATGAATTTTTTCTTCATTCTTTGCAGGAGGGTTAATTCAAAACACTGGGAGAATATTAATGGTTACCATATTTCAATGTGTAATAAGGAAGAATGTCATATGGGATGCACCAAATGATAGCATCACTGCCTGGGATGAACTACTCTCTCTGCTCTGCAAGACTTACAACAGCTTGGGTTAAGTTAGAAATGTGTTAAAAGTGGTCTCATACTACTCATACTTTTATTTTTTCCTTTAAATTGTGGCTAGAATATTCCCCGCAATCCTGGGATTAATTCATTCATCATTCTGTAAGCAGGAAGAAAGAATGTGAAAAAGCTTTACGCTTCCACATGCATATATTCTCTTATAATAGCTTTCATTTTCATACTAACTCACCAGCTGGAATGAAACATTAGAACAAACTGTGGTCTCACAGGAGCCTTCAGCGTTCTGAGACAATGAACAGTGTTGTATAAATGGATATTCTTTAGTCAGTTTGTATCAGTTTTCACTACAGCATTATTTCTGATCTAGTCTTCCTCAAGGTGGAGTCCATTAATGTATTTTGTCCAGTTATTGCTTGGATTTATTTTTGTTTTGTATCTTTGTGCCATATTGATGCAAGTTACAGTATACATATTCCTGAAAGGAATACAAGCAAAATGAACTAACATAAGTTGCCTGTCTTGCTGCTGGCTTGCCAGTATCAGCCATTCTGCTTAAGACTTTCCCACTGTATTAGGGTAATGTCAAACTGATGAATATGTTAATATAACAATCCTTATTTTTCTATTCTAGTACTATATGTTGTGCAGCCAATGCATTCTTCTGCTGCAAACAGAAACGCTTCTCGATTCCTCACTCTATTGTCTACTCCTATTTGCCATAACTTCCCTAAATTTTTATTGGTTTCTAAAACACCTTTATTCAGTTTAGTATTGATTATATTTGTAAGTTAGGAAGGTTTACAGTGAATGGTGGCATCTGCTGTTGCTCTCTGGCTTTCTTTTCATACAGTTACATAATTTTTTTTTTTTTTTTTTTTTTTTTTTTTTAATAGGAGAAGACCAGAAATTAGAACAAGAAGCCAGAGTGGCTTCTCAGGTAAAATTCAGCCTGGTTTTTTTTTTTTTTTTTTTTTTTTTTCTTTCTTTCTTTCTTTCTTTTTTTTTTTTTTTTTTCCTAGCAGAATGTCAAAGACATGAATTACACTGTGACTCTAATACACTGTGTTCCTCTCCTGGTATTTCTACCACCTCAAAACTTAGCAGAATATTACAGTGCAGACCAAAGAGACAATGTTACAAACAATTAGTATAACAATGCATAGTTTTTTCTTTTAAAAGTTAAAAAAAAAAAAACAACAAACAGCTAAGGACGGATCGGCCAGCTTTCCAGCTGTCACTCAACTTGTTTGCAACTCACAAAGACTTTGGAAGCCCTTCCTGCCTATCAGCCACCACAAAGGATCCAATCTTTTCTATTGTTAGTAACATAGCATGCAACTATACAGTCGTCCAAAGTTCCAGCCTTCTAACTATAGTGTACTAACCTAGCTAAAATGAAAACTTCAATGAAACTTTCAGGAGCTCAGGACCTAGACTGTGTCTCACTGTGACTATGAGAACAGTGACCACTTTTTTTTTTTTTTCTGAAATAATCTAATTAGCAACCCATTTTTCCTACACTACTTTACTGTTATGCTTATGTATGATTGATGTGTTTTGTTTTTGATTTTGTTTTTGATTTTGTTTTTGATTTTGTTTTTGATCTTGTTTTTGTTTTTAGATCAGGTAATAAGGCTTGCATGGAAAAATTCTACATGTGTGAGAAAGAGCTTCTTTCATATTGGTAAATTCTGATTCATCCACTGACTTAAAAAGGATGTTAACGTTCCAAAGGCTATACTCTTTCTCTTTTACAAAGAGAGACAGCTATGGGAGGGAGACTTTATAATTGCTTTTACTGTGCGTTCTCACACAAAAGAAATTTTAAAAATCAATGTGTCTTGTTGAACTTCTTTGAAACTTTGGCTATGAATCTCAGAAATATCTTCTTAGTATTTGACAGGTGTCCAGTTTTCTACATGAAGATATATCCTAGAGAAATGAAGCAATAAGTGTTTTCATTGTTTTCATTTCTTTTTTTTTTTTTTTTTTTTTTTTTCAATTTTGAAGCTTGTTTTTACTCTCATAAGCAAATGTTTTCCTCTTATTTTATCCCATGTCAGTTTAGAAAACAAACATCCATGAACTAGAAGAAAACAATATAGCTCCTAAGAGGCTGTTGGATTTTTGTTCAGATGCCTAACAACTGCTACGTTCTTCACTTGTTCCAGAAATAATTTGCCCATGTAAATCTTTAATAAAACAGCCACGTTCCTTCTTTTTCTTGTGTGTTTGGTTTCAGATTTCATTATAAGACTATCATTCTTCAGTTTTAGTTTGTTTTAATTTATACTTACCTGTATTTATAAAATTGCCTTTTTAAAAATACTGCTTCACTGTATCCAATAAATACGTGTCTAGTGTAACTATTAAACTTTTTGTGAAGCAACGGTAGTAAAAATCATATCTTAGTCTAGAATATTATAGAATTGCCAAGGTTGGAAAATACCTACAAGGTCATCCAGTCCAACTGTTTGTCTATCACTAATAGTTCTCACTAAAACTGTCATTTTTGTCTCTATGGAATTTGTAATAAAGCATTTGAAGAAATGTCTCAGATTTACCCGTTGCTTATTTTCTCAGCAGAAATGGATTGTGGATTGATTTTTTTACATGACCATTTTGCATTAATTTGTGGGATTTCCTTCCTGTTCTAACTTATTATTCTAATACTATTTCATAGTATATTACCCTACTCATCCTTCGACTCTGTAAACCACAGTCTGCCTTAGAGTATGTCAGTCTTGAACTTGGCATATTTTGGAGCTATACTTACTAAAGAATATTCTTTTTCTATAGATGAATTCACATGATATAAATGAAAAACAAATGGTATAGGATGATGCAAATAATTTGTTGGGAAGCCAGATAGATATTATATAATGAGTTCTGCATAGAGGGAAAAAGTAGTTTTTCAGTTTCATCCAGTCCTATTTTAACATATTGAAAACTCAGACCTTATCAGCTTGCCTCTCAGGTTTTCCACTTCAGTGATGCTATTTTCCACAAGAAATGAAGTCAGTTGTACTGTGATCTTGATTGTGGAGTCTCAGAGCTGTTTGCTTCCATTCACAGATGCATTACTTGTGCTTGAGGTTACTTCTCTTGAGGTTGGTTATGTTTATGTGAGTCCTTATTTCCTTCATGATGAGTGCTTCTGAAATAAGGAAATCAGGTGTACTGTATCTGTGAAACTGGGAAGCTTTCAAGACATGTTTGTTTCTCTATTGATTTGTTTCTGTCCTAACAACAATAGTGGTGCTCCAGTATGTTATATGGCAGCTTAAAAAAAGGGTTTTGATGGTATTCCATCATCATTTTATTGCTAAATCTTTAATAGCATTTCTAATCTCTGTTGTCATTAGATAAATTTCCAATGGTAATTCATTTTTCTTCCTGCTAGAAACCAGGAGAAATGTGAGATACAAGATTATCTACCAAAGGAACCACCTCAAAGACATGTTCTCCCTAACCTAAGTTAGATCCAAATTAATACACAATTTTAAATTGAAGTATGAAACTTATTTTTGATAGCTGTGATAAATTTTTAAAGAGGAAATGGATAGCTGAAAAACTACTTTAAAATTTTGCAGACTAGTCATCTTATTTTTCCCATCCTTGCAAAGCTGAATGGACATCACTGGTAACTATTTTAGTGTTACTTTTCGGGGAGGGGGGGGGGGAGTAGAAGAGTAGTGCATTGATATGACTTAAAGCTAAAGCAAAAAAAAGGTGAGGAAAACCATTTATATTGTGTAAGACTATAGCACATCTTTGGAGAAGGTTAGTCTGCTTAGATGAGTTTCCCCCGATGCAGTCACAAATGTGAATCCCCTGTATGGATAGGGGCATATTTCAGTAATAATTATATTAATTATCAGTTTATTATATGGCAAGAATATTATTTTGAGAAAGGTTGTGATTGAATTTAGGGGGAAAAAAGTAATGGAAAATTGTTATCCATATTTGAACTTTCACTCAATTCTCAACCAACTTCAGGGCTGCTTTTCTGTACTTCTAGCAGACAAAAGACTGATACTTCAGAATTTGCGATTTAGCTTCTATCCTTACAGGTCTTTAAGATAAGAAGGAAATCAGGTAAAATTGATATATTTAGTTTGTTTATTCAGAGTAGTAACACTGTGAAAGATGATGTTTCAGAGGACCTTTTGTTTTTAAGAATAGTCTTGCTTCTCTGCTCAGTCCCACATATGTTGCACTGTAGACAATATTTTATGCTTAAGCCTGTACTGATTTAAATTGGTTATATTGTTAAACATAAAAGACTGGTTTAGACATGGATTTGGACAACACAATCTGAAGAAATGAAATGCATTTCTCAAAAAGGATATTTCTGCCCTTTCTAATAAAAAGGAGTGACTTCATATCTTTCAATTGCTAACAGACTATCAAGATGCCATTCCCCTTATAGTGACATAGACTTTCTAAAACAAATCAGAAGTAAAAGGCTGGTAAGTATGTATTTCATATTTTAAAACTACTAAATGAATTTGTTGTTCTTATCAAAACCTAAAACTTCATCTATGAATTACTTCTGCAATAAGAAATGTATATTGCAGAACTTAGGACTTCTGATGTTGACAGTTGCCCTGTGTATAAGCGATGTTTCACTATATCTGCAGTGCATTGCTCAGAGATTCAGTGCAGTATGTAACTTTATAGCCAAGTGTTTGCCTTTTCTTCTCTTACTTAAAAACACCTGGTATCTCTGGGACTTTTAAGTTTAATACTAATCCCACTTGAGTGGACATCTGTGAAGAGATATTTCTCAAGAGGAATTTAGAAGAGCATAATGAGCACTGAAAATTAAGACACTAACGGTTGGACTGGATGATCTTTTAGGTCTTTTCCAACCTTGGTGATTCTATGATTCTATGATCTTTAGTTCTCTAATGTTCAAGTATTAGTTAGGATTTCTTTACATTTGTCCTAATTTTGTGGCCTTATCAGGGTGGATGTATTAAAATATTACCGTTTAGTATTTGGTTCCTAAAGGTAACTGAGAAATGAGAAGATTCAGACAGAATTGGTAAGGAGAGGCACTCAGTAAACTTCTGCTCTGAAGATATGTATTTGTTTCAAGACCACACAGATGCTGTTGGCAACATGAATTTTATTAATTAACAATTCACTAATTTAATAGACTAAAAAGAGTATTTTTTTTTACTCTTGATGGAAAAAAAATTTCTGAAAAAATCTACTGCAAACTTGCGCATTAAAAATATTAAGTCATGGCCTGAAACAGTAATTAAGCATCTGGTTGGATGGCAGGGCCAACCCAGGGGAGTTTGGGTGTATGTAATGTAGCTGAGTGACCAGAAGGGGTGGAGCTAGGATCCTCCCCTTCCCATATTACTTTTAAAGGTTGGCAATGAAGGAGAAGGCATCTTTTGCTGGAGATCCTTGTCTACCTGAAGTCTTTCAAGGGTAAGAAGCTCTTTTCCTTCATTTCTGTGTCTGCTGCATTTGGGCTCATTCTCATTTGCTATAACAGAAGACTTTGCCAACCATGCTGTTATTGTGGTACTTTCCATCCCATTATAGTATTACAACATGGTTTATGATTTTATTATTATTTTTTTTTTTTTAGGACAGAGTATCTAGAAAATTGACTGAGACAGCATTTCAACTCTGTGTGATACCTTAGTGATTTTTCTTTGCATTTTTAATATTCTATCTTTCTCCAAAAAAAATGCACAAAAATAATATCAAAGAAATTGCTATTAGCTTCCTGAAATGACAATTTCATGACTAGATTCAAATATAGTATAGTTTATATAGTTTTAGTCAGTCTCCCAAGGCTACATTGCAAGGGGCAAATATTCAGTTCCTCATTGTCTCAAACTTTATCTTTTCAGACACTGCCGATACATCTCTTAATCATGAGAAAACAATCTATCATGGAACAGCAATAAAATATTTACCTGCACTTGTAACTTCTGATTCTGTATAATCCTAATTATTTTTATCCCCAGATTTTCTAACACAGGCTGCCAGTATGATCTAAACATGACGAATCCAAGAATGTTGTTTTAAGATATTAGATTGCACATTTCTGTCCTAGAGTATTTTCTGTAACATTAAGAAACAATGTCAGGTATTTCAGAAGAAACAAAATGTTGCAATTTCTGTGTCTAAGTAAAAGGTGAAACTTAAATTCAATGAGGAAAATAGGGAACACTGAACATCAGTGTTAGGAATATAGGAATATTAGAATTTTATTTTGTGGTTTTTCTTTTTCTATTCCAATAGCAGGCTTTGTTGTATTGATATTCAGTAATCGGCCTCAGGAGTTTATCTTGAGTTGGAAAGAGAACTCATTAATTTACAGCTGTGTGCTTTCTTGTTTCTTTTATCCAACAACTTATCCATCATTCCCTTTTGCTCCTATATTTTACTCTACTATGGATAGTTGTATTTTCTGATCTCCTGCTTTGTATTTCATTTTCTCAGTTCTTATCCCAGTAGTCTCCTTTCCAAAATACAGGCATATGAGGAAAACAGCTTGGGAAATAGGATCCCTTGGGAGGGGATGCCTCAGGAAATGAAATAGTTGTTGCTCACAGGATTTGGATGAATATAGCATGTTGGTGGTTGTTTGCTGCTTTAATAAGTTGTTCTGATTTCCCTGTACTAAGTATCCTTACTTTCAACATATTTGAAGGTTTTAAAAATAAATAAATAAATAAATAAATAAATTCTTAAAATACAGTAGTAGCAGAAAGATACTTGAATTGTAGCTTAATTAAAGGTTTTTCTTTCACCAAAGAACAAATAAGTTTACTGTCCTCTTTGGCTATGTTTCAACAAGCTTTGCACAAATAATAAAATCCTCCTGGGTATTAAATCAGCATATATAATTGAAAAGATTGTGTGACAGATAGTCTGGTTGACAGGGGAAAAAATAGTTTAGCTAGCTGAAAAGATTATTACTGAAGGCATCACAGTGGTGAGATAGCAAAATGAAATACAGCTTGTACCCTTTGCTTTTGGGATTGTAACTCACGGGACTGAAATTTATAAATGCAACCTGATGGTTCTTTATTGCACTTTTTTTCCCCAGTCAATATATAAGCAAAATCTTGCCCTTTACCTGGACTGCATTAACAATTGCCAGGTGTGTTATGTGTTTATTGAATCCTTGATTGAAATGAAACAATCTATACACATTGTGCTGGCTCATCTGCACTAAGTCTTAA